TGGGAGAAGTGAAACCTTAAGTATAGATGCTGATCCAAAGGCTTACTTTGCTTAATTATTTGGGCAGGATTCTGAATCCAGGAGAAATGGCTACAGAAGAAAAGATAAGACGCCAGGGCAAGAAAAATCAGGAAGACTCTGACACAGGACTGGTAAGGAAGCAGCTTGTTTGGGAACACTGCTTCATCTCCATTTATGCAGACGAGACATAGTTGATGTCTACTAGCATTTCACTCTTGGAGATATAGGTCCAGTAGTATGATTGGTGGTTGGATCTGTTTTAGTACAGCTAATATACGTATTTCTTAAAGTACTGTAACAAAAGAATAGTGAAAGCATGTTCTCCAAGTCATGTGTCAGAGAATTATGTTCATCATTTACACTGTTTCTGTCCAATAACGTGTTACATGTGGCTTCTAAGTTGCATGAAACCAAGATTTTATCAAAACAACGACTAACACTTTTTCATAATTTCCTTGAACTGCCTTCATATCTGAGGGCAGATAATTTACCTCCACAGTGATCCAGAATGGCTGGGGTTTCTTCAGTGATACGTGAGTACATGAGGAACCACTCAAGATTATAGCAGTCCTAACAGCTTCAAAGTGAATCACAGAGGTTACCTGAAATTACTGAAATACTTCCAAGTATTTCATGAGCTTCAAATGCACCATTTAGATTATCCTTCAGTAATGTCCTAAGGAGGAGATGTGTGCATGTGTGACTGTGCACAGGTGCAAACACAAACTGAGAGGACTGAGGCTGAGGCACAGGGAAAGCTCAAAGACCAGGCCAACTTTTAAGTTATCTCCTATATTACTTAGAATTATTTGTAAGACAAAATAATCATAGACCTCAAAGCAAGCAGATAAAATACAAGTTGTTTTCTGACTTTTTAAATGGCAAAACAAATTATGACCATTTTACAGCCATGCACAGGCTGTTAAAATCACTGTAGTTAGAGGTTTAGATGATGCAGAGCCACCCACAGCTAGCCTTAGGAACACAATTCTTATTCAGCCTCAGAAATGTTCCCACATATTAAGATGTCAGAGATCGTCATTGTTTGCGCACTGGCTGCTTTCCATAACACCCAGACCCTTGCTCACTGTAGCAGAGAAGAGACTAATGTCATGTTTTTCAGATATGTTCCTCCTAGTAAATTGTGATTAGCTCTCTGCAGCACAGGACTGTGCCTTATCAACTCACAGTATGAAAAACCAATTATTTAAGTCTGTATGCAAACAAGAAATACAACAAAATTTTGTTTCTACTCTCAATAGTCTTCCCAACTCCACAGGCGTTTCATGTCCCCAGCATTTTTTAAACTATAGTTACTATTTATCACTGATACTTTCTATTCAACTCCTATTATTTTATGCTTACACAACTCAGTTATCACATCAAAGCCTTGCCTGAATGGATGTTGATATCCTCATTGCCAGTGCTCTCTGCACTTCTCAATCTATCACACTTACTGTTTGCAGTGATCAGACTTAAAACTCACAAAGACATGCAAAGTACAGGAGTTACTTAGCCCCATACCATCTGTATTTAAACACAGGGATTTCACGAATCTTAAAGAATAATGGAATTGGCTCAGATTTGGCAAGACATTTCAGGTTCTGTGTTCTTCTGCTAAGGAAAGGAAAAGATTAAGTCATCTAAAATATAATATTAAAGCATTAACCTCCATTTTTGCTCAAAAGAAGTCGGTCAGGAAAGAAAAGTCTTTCAGTCCCATACACCAAGGAAATTTTCTCTAGGGTGTAGCAACAATCTCAGACCAACAGGAAGGGGAGCATGGCTGGCTGAGCATCTGTGGAATGGGACAATGCAGCCTTGTCATAGCCAGAAAACTTCTATGCACAGAATGGCATGAAGGAAAGCATTTTTTAAAGCAACAACAGAGAACCTGGTATCCATGACCAAACAGCTCCAACGATTCTAACAGCATGAGCAAATACTGTAAAAGTCCAGCCCAGCTCATAGGCCAGAGCACTTTGCACAGAGCATGTTTTAGATGCTGGTATACCAGTATGACCCCAGAGGTGTTTTGGTGCTCTAACCTTTCCACACTTTACCAGCATAAAGCCCAATTACTCAGGTTTGGGGTATGTAACCCAAGTGTTGGTTATCTAGTTAGATTATGCTTTCTATTGCTGTAATTTCTAAAATCAGCAAATAAGAAACCGTAAGATGGAAAAAAAAGGTTCTTTTTCCAAGGCCATAAAGGATCCAGAGTAGTATGTTCTGCACTCCCATTGTACCATGTGTACAGAAAAAGACTTTTTCTTTTTGAGTGTTCTTAGACCTCCAGAGTGTATGGGAATTAAGGAGCTCAGTCCTTTGCACTGACAGGCCCTAGAAAGGCTAAATTAATGCCAGCAAGACTATTAATTACTGACTTGCAAATCTACATGCTCTGCAGATATGGAAGGTATCTAAGAGACTAAAGACCACACCGTGCACAAATGGTAAAAATATGGAGTGACTATTTTCTGTCTTGGAGGCATCTTTCCTCCTGTCCTCATCCTGCATTTGTATAAATAGTATGTACTCATAGATGACAAAATCCATAATCTGGGACAGAGAAAATAAAAGCAAGCTGAACACAATGCCTGTAAAAAAATTAGATTTAATGAAGTGCCTGCTGTGGGTTTATTTCCTGATGTTCTTCTGTGGTAATAAACCCACATCCCTTAACACATTTAAAAGCCAAAAAGAAAAATGAAACCAGGAAAATTCTCGGCTGCCATCTACTGTTCAAAACCTTCCTGCATCACACAGGAGAATAAAATCAAGAACAAACACAAAGAGCACTCACTGACATCTTCAGGTTTTCTCCTCCCCTCTACTATTCTTGCACATAAACAATGTCTTTGGAGTACTGTTAGAAACCATTACATTCTATGTATATGACCACCTTTTAATCACTACCAGGAATTAGAAACACAAAAGCTTGGAAACTTAATGACACATTGATTCAGGAAAAACAGTAGTATTTTTAGTATTTCAGTGAAAAACTGTACCTGTTACAAAAGTTCTACTAATTCACGAGAAAGCACTAGAGGGTGATTTCACTATACAGCAATAAGACAGAAATAGGACAGAGACTGAAAAGCAATGTGCAAGGAAGCTGTCTGCCTTTCCTTTTCTTGAAGTCTTGTGCTACTATCAGCGTAAGACCTACAATATATTTGTTTCTCTGTCTCTCTTGAGAGCTGCCTAGATCGCTTTGTCCTTTTCAAATCCCCTGCCCCACCTCCCACCTCTTTGCTGCCTCAAAGAAGTCATTACGATCCTGCAGATCTGACAAATAAGACATGCTACAATGAAAAGGGAATCTTCACCTATAGGATAACTTGGAAGTTAGGTTTAAATAGCACAGGATACCAGGTTGTCACAGTTTATGACAAAAGCTGAACAGACTATCATCTGCGGTGTGTGGCCAGCAGCTGGAAGGAGGTTCTCCTCCCCTTTATTCTGCCCTACTAAGGCCACCTCTAGAGTACTGTGTCCAGTTCTTAGCTCCCGAGCTCAAGAGAGACAGGCAAACACTGGAAAGAGTCCAGTGGAGGGCTGCAAAGGATATGGGGACTGGAATATCTCTTACAAGAAAAGGCTGAGAGACCTGGGTCTATTTAGCCTTGAGAAAAGGAGACTGAAAGGGGATCTTATTCAATGTTTATAAATATCTAAAGGGTGTGTGCCAAGAGGACAGGGCCAGACTCTTTTCATTGGTGCCCAGTGGGTTAACAGGCATAAACTAGAACACAAGAAGTTCCACCTAAACACTAGGAAAAACTTCTTTGCCATGAGGGTGACAGAGCACTAGAGCAGACTGCCCAGAGAGGTCATGGAGTCTCCTTCTTCAGAGACTTCCAAAACCCGCCTGGACTTGTTCCTGCACAACCTGATCTAGGCAAACCTACTTTAGCAGAGGGGTTGGATTAGATGATCTCAAAAGGTCCCTTCTAACCCTTGCCATTCTGTGATCTGCAGTAAAGGAGAACCAGGGGTTTATGGAGAGACTTTAGACAAGGCCAAAACCATCTGAATTGCATTTCTGAGTCAATTCTGTCACTCACTTCCATACTTCAGTCACACGGTTATAAACTGAAGACACATCCTCGTAAATATACTGGGAGCAAATTAAGTACTTAATCTGAAAGCATCTAACACAGTCTGTACTATCTAGTCCAAACCCACTCACAGCAGGTCAAACAAGCTCATATTGCTTGGGCCCTGTCCAGTTAGGTTTTGAACAGGGTAGAGATGTCAGAGCTCCCTGGACAACCAGTTCCAGTATTTCACCACCAACATGTCTCCTACTCATTTGCCTGCCTGGCATGATTTAAAAACAGTATGTCTAAGGGTCCCATTCAAAAGTTCACAGGACTATATTACATGTATACGCTTGCATACATATATAACATCTGGAAGTTGACCACATACCTCTAGTCTCTAGGGAGCAAACTGCTCCCTCTCACACAAATGTATCAGATGGTGAAACAGTTTTTCAAGAATGGTTGTAGATTATGACAACTTCAAGAGTAAGGTACATTAAAAATTGAGCCTTAGTAGGGAGGTACTAACAGATGATCTAGTAGTAACTTCAGCTGTCACAAAGTCTTTTCTCTAGTCTTTAGTATCCTTTACTATTCCTCAAAGTTCAGGGTGCAGTCCATGGAAAAGTAACACTTATTGGGAATCAGCCTACCAGCAATCTGAAAGGTATGATACTCAGTGGCTAAGGAATGCAAGTAGGCCAGGGCTGAAACTGTAACAAACAGGAGAAAATCCAAAAGAAAGAAAAGAAATTAAACAAAAGAAAAAATCCTAACCTGAGCTCAATAAAAAGTAAGCAGCTAGAAAAAGTGCATTATGGTTTGTGCACCATGTACCAGGTCATTTTGAAGCTTGTGGGCATGGGCATAATTATCTGTGTCCTGTATTCCCAGGAAGAGAGTTTGGATGAACTTGATACTTCAACCTACCTGGTTTGAAATGGGGTAAAGAGTGGACTCCAGGCCATGTATCTTCATTTGGGGTTCCAAGTACCTGTGCACAAAAACAGAAAAAAATCCACACATCGCTTTAATGGAAAAGACTTAACAAGTCATAGTTATGCATAAAGTCACTCTTCATTGTAAGCAAAATGTATATTACAATCTCTTGAATACGCTTAATAACTAGGCAAAGGCAAGGAAGAACAAAGTAGAAAAAGTTAAATGATAACCACAGTTTCAAGGTATCAGTGGAGTCAGTAAAGCACATAACAGTGCTGTGTTCTTCTTGGATTGCTATATAACTCATACATGTTAAAGCTACTTTCTATTGACAAGTGTCAAGCTACCTGGATATCTCAGAGTGTTGTTGTTACAGAGGCTACCTATCTTAGCTCAGAAATAATTTCAAACAAGATTAACAGATACTTAATAGGTAGATGCTGGGATAAAAGATTTGCACTGATAGTGAAACTGGTGACCAAGAGCATGGCATGAAAAGAATGCACAACAATTGTCCTAAGTGCATGTAGTATACATAAAAAAAATATTTATTTTTTAGGAAATACAGACTTCATTGACTCATGCATTATATTTTGTTTCTTGCACTTCAACTGTGTCCTCCTATTTATAGCATAAGTCAGATCAACTTTCATTAGCCAAGTATTTCAGACTTCTCATGTGCATCTTATATTCTCTGCTTACATGAAAAGCTCACCCCCATTTTTGGCAATAATAATTGAGACAACTGTTGTAATTAATTCTCCCAAATCTGTTTTGCTTTATAAGACATAACTGTCAATGCTTGCTTTAAGTGGAGCTGAGAGGAACACCTAATTAGCAGCTCTAGGAAAGCATTGCTAAATAGTTGTGGAATGTTATATTTCATTAGTCATATCTTTCTTGCTATAAACTTACACCCAATTTCTAACACAAAAGGAAATGCTAGTTGCTGTTTTCAATATTTGTTATAAGCTCAGTCCCTGGGATAAATGGTTAATATTTTAAAGTGAAATTTTTTTTCCATTGTCATAAAATGTACAAAACCCCTGCCAGCCCTGCCCCTACCTGTGCTGCAGATCTTCTGAGTAAATCTTTTAGATCTGTATATCTTGAGTCACTGTGATATTTTGTGGTCACTCACATCAGCACAAAACAAGCACAAAGTTAGTGTGAAAATCTTTGGTTCAAGTATGTGAAGGTTTGTGACACTTTGGGGCAAGCTACAAGAGATCTACTCCCAGTCATTCAGAGCTGAAGAGATTTCTCTTTAATTGTGTCTGCTGATATATATATCTCTATCTATCTATGCATCAAGACCATTAAAGGAAGGACCACTATAAAATATTTGTTGCACTTCTTAAGCTATGTAAATATTTGTTCATGTTGATGAAGTCAGTCTTAAAAAATATTTTAATTAAGACTGGGAAGCTAAAACACACAAAAAAAAATTATCTTTTGACTCCACCAGAAATTTATTTCATAAAATTTAGGATTGGGCTTAAAAATTTGAGCTAAAAGAAAGTGACCTCTTAAACAGATATAATTCTTACCAATATGGTGTGCTTTATTACTCTAGGGACTCAAATTTGTTAAGTAATTTATAAAACTAATGTGTTTCTAACCTAAGAATAGCAATGCAAAGATCATTTGTCCTCCACTACCAAACAAAACTAGCAAAGAGTCCAATTTAGATGTAGTATGACAAGTAGGAGGTGAAAACAGAGCACCAAGGTGTCAGAGAAACAAAGATGACAGTGTAAGTGTAACTAGACAGTATATGCTCGTGTTTATTTGGATATGCTTTTATTTTGTAGGACATTATTTTCAGTTCTTGTGAAGTATGTCTTAAATAGCATTTGAATAAGATAAATCTTATTTGTCTGCAATGCTGATTCATCATAACACCCGTACCAATTCCATTATTGCTGTAAGGGAGAGCACAATTCTCTCACTAAATATAGAAGTTAGGAAACACTGCTGACACTGTGTCACTAAACTAATTTGCACATACTCGGCTTCTGCATTAATGAAGCTCCTGATGCCAAGCACATCCTAGACCAGGAGAGGGAGCCCATGGATTAAAAACAGATTCCTGCTTTCTCAGTTTAAATTAACAAATATGGTGTTCAACTTTGCAACTCCACTTAGCAAATCAAAGAAATATTCTCTCTTGAAACGTTATGTCTACAAGAAAATTAGCCACATCCTTCTAAATATGTGTTCTTAATTTACTCTTATTTTAGATGACACAGGCAACTAAGGCACTGTACAGATCAATATTAAAACTAGCTAACAAAAACTCTAACTTCCAGTGCAAGGTAGAGTATTTATCAGACCAATTTAATATAGAACCTGGAGCTAAGAAATGGATTATTCTGATTTTCAAATAACATCAGGTCCAGTAACAGAGGGCTTGATGGGAGATAAATTTTCTAATGAATCTTATGTAACTCACAATTTTGTTCACCAGTTTTACAATCAATTTCTTTAATACTATTCCAGCATATCTCCTGCTACCATGTTTCATAGCCAGCTATAAACAAGTTCTGTACATTGGAGTACTCAAATCACTTACTATATTTATACATTCTGTCAAGGGTAGCAGTCAGGCTAAAAACAACTACCATTTTCTACCATCTAAAGGCCCTACCATTTTTAAGGTAGGGGCCCTTTGGCATGGTTTGATATTCTATTTTTTTAACATTCAAATAATCTATGGTCCTCAAATTTGGAATGGATTTATTGTTTTCTGGGGACCAGGATAGTTTCGCTCTTCCACCCTACATAAAACACTAGGAGCCATTTCATTCCCCAGCAAACGAGATTAAATGACCCTGTCATTTGAAACTTGCTGCTCAAAATCAGGACCAGATTCTAATCTAAATTGTAGGGTGAGAAATGTATTTATATGAAAACAACAGATTTACAGTACATCAGGCTACTGAGGGCCAAACACCATTAATGCCAGTTGACATTGTTATTGCTTGGCAGAAAGTCATGAAAACTGAACCTGCTGTTCAAATCTCAATATACAAGCATGACAGAAAGATTTCCCAGGAAATGCAACACAAATGCATTAAGGTCTATTGCATTGCTTTAATTTTTTTAATATATGAAAAAAGTGGTTTGCTTTTTCCATCTGATTTTACACAGATACATCATGCTCACCTTTAATTAACCTGCTCCCTGGTGTGCAAGGGAATCATTATTTTACAGTGAGCATTAAGCATCTCTACCAACACAATTAGTTGTGTTGTCCTGTACTCTGCTTCAAATGCAAAAATGTTCCCCATTAGTGGCATGTGGTAAGGTCATTCTGGGTAACAGCTTGTCCAGAGAAGTCATCTGAATCTCTTGTGAGATGAGCAGCAGTGCAACTTTGTCACACTAGCTCTTTCCCAAGTGCTGGCATAATTAATAAAGAACAAGCATTTCCATTTGCACTGCAACTTTTGAATATAAAAAGCTGTGTATTAGTGTGTTAGAACAGCTCACGATCCTCGAGAAAGGCACTTCAGCAACACAAAGAACATGCAGCCTCTGGTATTATTCAGGATTTTGTAGCAACAGAGCAGAATGAAAAACAAGATCAGCATGCCAATGAACTGCCCTTCCTTTGACAACATTTATGGAAATCAGGCTAAGCAATTTGCTGAATTTTCAGGTTTTTTTTCACTTCAGGTCAACTTGATGAACAAACAAAGTTCAGTCAAAAAAATGTCAGGAGAGTGGGGTTTTTTTCCCCTCTTTAACGAAAAGATGGTTTTGTTGAAAAATGCCCTAGAATTTTCACTAGGAAAAGTTACAAGCTGGATTAAAAAAGTTTTCTTATTTTATAGTTCTTTTTAAGGATCATCAAGAATTCTGTTCCTGTCTTCCTATTTGCTGGGTAGAACATAGTGTATTCATTGAGTCCTCATCTGTGATGCACCATGGGACACTACAACTGCTAGAGGAAACAAACTTAATAAAAAATAGGAAGAAGGTAAGTATTGCAGAGCAATTTCCAAATTAGCAAACTCTTTCTGTTGAGTGAGAGTTGGAGGTTTCAGATGTCCTGTTTTTCAACAAAAATCTGTTATATGCTTCCAAAACAGCTAATGAAGCTTTCAGCTTAGTCAAAAACTTAGGAGTTCTTTTCCCTTTCATTAGAGGACGATACATTGCTACTTTAGATTTGGCTCTCGAGAAGGAGTGCGAGTTCCAGGGTTTCACTGTAGCAGTTCCATCATGCCCAGAGCCATATCTGGACATGGAACTTCCCATCTGGTCTGGAAAAGGAAAAGCTAATGTGATCTCTTCCCTCTCAGAGTCTCTCCTGGTGCCAAGTCATTTGTCCAGATAATCCACCTACTGCTGCATTCTCCTCCTGAGGAGTCACAGTTAGGTAGATCTTAACCACATCTTCCACAATTAGGGGCAGTGATGCATTACAACCTGGTAACGTCAGTGAGAACAAAGTACATGTAGTAGTGAAGACCAAAGGAGGAATTCTGTCCTTCACCTTAGCATTTGGTCTTAGTATAATGGGTAAAATATATACATATATATATATATTTTCAGCAACTATTTGTGTTTTATGAATGCTGCTCCAGTTTGCTGACTGACAGCTGCAGCAAGGCTTCCTTCAGCTCTCTGCTGGGCATGATGGATGACAGCTGAGTGTCAACTTTAATACCCAGAAGGTGGAGACAGAAATGGAATTTCCTCAATACCAGTAGTTTCTTCACACCAGGAGCTTAGCAGTTCAGTTTCTGTAACTGACAGTATAATCTATCAGTTTGTGCAATGAGCTTAAGTGTTAGTTAGATTGAGGCCAAGCACATTTCAGTTTTGGGAAGGCTGTAGATGTTTCAGGGTTCCCAGTTGCAATGAAAAAGTCATCTAATTTTTCACTACAGAAATTATGTCTATCAGCTCAGATGGCAACAATATATTTACCCGGATTAATGAAAAAAAAAGACCATATAACTAGTAATTATCCCTGAGACTGAAAATATCAAAGCTTTCATTAAATGAATGGCAAAAATTACATTTATAGCTCCTAAACCA